GGGGGTACCTGGGGTAACTGGTAACTGGTACCACGTAAAAAAAACGGCACATCCTAATCCCATATTCGTTTTTACTCGCAGGTTTGTGGCTTTGGTGACGGACGGTGCGCCGGCAATGGCAGGTGATGTGAAGGATGGCCTGGTTTGTCGTCTCCGAAAACACCTCAAAGGTTTAGGTCTACCCTTCAACTTTCCCCACATACATTGCATTATTCACCAAGAAGCACTCTGTGCCAAGACTTTGCCGGTGGATAATGTAATGGATGTCCTAGTGAAAGCGGTAAATAAAATTAGAGCCCACTCTTTGAACCACCGCCAGTTTCAGGCTTTTCTTGCTGAAATTGGCTGTCAATTCTCGGACATACCGTATTACTGTAGTGCCCGATGGCTCAGTCGGGCAAAAGTCCTCAATAGATTTTTTGTTCTGCGTAAAGAAATTGCAGAATTTTTGACCTCCAAAAAATACCCTATTCCATTTCTATCCGATCCTGAATGGGTTCTTGAGCTAGCTTTTTTGGCAGATGTCACAGGCCATCTGAATGAGTTGAACATAAAGCTTCAGGGGAAAAACCACACAGTGTGTGATATGTCAGAAATAATAGGGACATTTCTAGGTAAGGTCAAAATTCTAGTGGCACAGTTGTCCACAAATAACTTATCAAATTTTCCCTGTATGATGGAGGCTGGTACTTTTAATTTGACTATTCACGGTGCACGGTACAGTTCGGTTCTATCAAAACTTCAAAAAGAATTTGAAGTACTACAACAGAATGCTTTTAAAACACTAGAAAAGGAAATGGACATATTTGTGAGTCCTTTTGTCATCCAGTTCTTAGTGTGCCTGCTGACCTCCAAATGGAATTGAATGAGCTCCAAAATAATAGGGTGCTAAAACGTAGGTTTCACATGTCCTCTTTTGCAGAACTTGTATCTTTCCTACATAAAGAAAAATTTCCAAAATTGAGGAACCTGTATGCAAAGTTGAAAGCCATATTCGGCTCCACATACATCTGTGAGCAGTTTTTTTCCCTGATGAAACTAACTAAAAATAAGGTGCGCACTCGCATTACGAACAAAAATTTATCTGCTTCTCTCAGAATTATGTCCAGAAATAGACTTGAACCAAATTTTGAAGAAATTGTGTCCACTAAAAGAGCTAGGTTATCTTCTGATGTGTTTCGTACAAATGAATAAAATGAGTTGAGTTCCACATCTATCGACGTTTTTTGCACACTCCTCGGTAAACACCATATTTGCTCAGTTTTCGCTCGGGAGGCCGACAGAGATCGGCCTGCAGGTAAGAGGTGGGGCGGACACCCCCTTCCCCCCCTCCTCATCTGCACCTCCGAGCGAAATATGCACATCGCTGGTAACTACCATACTGCAAACACACGCTCTCACATTCAAACTTGGCGCGGCGCGGCTAGCCGCCCATGCCGGGCTAGCCGGGCGAGCCGAACGATCCCCCACCACTCCCTATCGCTCCGTCTCTCTCGCACCGCCGCTTCTCCCGCTCTCGAGTGGCCCGCGCGCTAGAGTTAGCCGGGACCCCTGAAATAACATGTGATGTATTTTCAGCGAGTTCTCTAACTCCAACTTTCCCCGTCAATCAAGCGTTCGACAGCTGAAGTCTTTTACCCAGGTTAACTTTCCCGTGATGTGACAAGGGCTTGTTGAAAGATAACAATAAAGTGAGATGAACATGATTTAATTACAAAATAAGGGACTGTCTAAAAAGAACATGATTACAAAACATATGATTTTTTAAAAAAAGCCTCCATCTACTTCTTCACGTGCCTCCTTTTCAGAGCTTCCTTCACCTGCTTGGTAGTCTATAACAAAAGAACGTAAGATTAGACCATAAATTTACGGTCTGTGAAATCCACAACAGACAAATGTTTTAAAAACTTACAAGTTTGGGCCTTCCATAAGGATGGGCCTGAATGACCTGCTGACGGTGAGCCTCCTGACGGTGAGCCTCCTGACGGTGAGCCTCGTGAGCAGGGGCCTCGGCCCGTGGTTGATCCTGGGGGTGGACAACGTGTTGCAGAGCCGGGGCCTCAGGCCGGGGAGTGTACGTGTACGGCGCCATCGCCTGCGCAGCGTCCCGCGGGTCGAAGTCCTTCCCGACCACCGTCTTTTTCTCTCCCAACCGTTTCAGCGCAGGCTGCAGCAAAGAGGAAGAAAGTTAGACACCGCGTCAATTTTAAACGATGACGAAACCTATAAAATGTTAAACTTACGATTCTTTTTGGCTGGTGGGCAATGCGATGCCGCCCCATGGAAGGGCCGGCCTCGGCGGCCTCGGCGGCCTCGGCACCCCCGGCGACCTTGGGCACAAGCACCATGGCAGCGCCGGCTTCGGCGGTCTCGGCGCCCACGGCGACCTCGCCCTCATGCTGCGCAAGGCCCATGGCAGGGCCGGCCTCGGCGGCCCCAACGACGTCCTCACGTTGCCCCTCACCTTTCACTCCCAAACGTTTGAAGACAGACTGCAACATGAAAGACATAAGTTAAACGCAAAGTCGACTGTTAACGGTGAATGCTGTAAAAAAGTTAAACTTACGACTCGCCCGTTGCAGCGGGTGGCGTCCTGGGCCAGGGGCCTGCTGACGTCCTTGGCGGGGGCGGGAGGGTCGAAGGGGCCTACCTTCACAGCAACCTCATCCACAAACTATAAAAAAGTAATGTAAATTAGTTAAAAAACGGTGTATGGTGACTATCTCTTAAAATGCGTCGATTAACTCACCCCGTCGCGTGCCTCATCTTCCTCCCATAAGGAGGGGAGTGAGAGAGGGTGGGGCATGGGGCGAGTCACGTCCTCAGACGAGTCGTCCTCCAGAGGCCGGGGCAATGCCAGGGCGGCCGGCTCGCAAGACTCCTGGAACGAAAAAATCCATCGTTACTTTGTGTTGTGAGTGTGAGAGAGGTAGCGCGCTGAGCGGTGAGAGCGCCCCCCCTCCCCACCCCACCACCATCCCATTTCCAGGAATCCTCGCGCGCCCACCGAGGGGACGCCATCGGCGTCGTGACAAAGAAATCGTAACGTTTGAACAAGTAAACGGTCAAAGGCTCAATAAAATTGACAAAGGCCTGACCTCAGTGCGTGAGGAACAAAATGAGAGACGCGAACGAGTTACTGGCCGGCTTACACCGGTCCGCGGCCGCGGGCGGCACACGAGACCGCAGCAGCGAGCGCTCCGAGCTGAGCTCTTCAGGCAAGACACTCGATTGAACACTTAATTTACAGCTACGTGACGCGGGCAGGACACGCCGTGATCAAACACTGACGCCGGCGGGCGGCGAGCACGACGTCAGCGGTAAGACAAAGGACTCGCACCCTAACCTCAACTTAATGAATGGCGCGAGCCGGCAGGACGCAGAACTTAATCACTCGCGGTTTAAATGAATGAAAGAACACTCGCGATCAACACAGAGTAGCTTAGAATTACGGTGGGCGACGCAAAGGGGACGCCATGGCGTGAAATCACAGGATGATGCAACATGGATGTGGCGCGCAAATCACTTACCTCATTGTACAGCAGGCCT